TATATATGGGCTAATTCACCCTATGTGGTCTTGATAGATGCATTTACAAGATGGTCATATATGTGCTTATTATCTACTCGTAATATGACTTTTGCGAGGTTGTTGGCTCAAATAATAAGATTAAGAGCATAGTTTCCAAATTATGCAATAAAGATAATTCGTCTTGATAATGCTGGTGAGTTTACATCGCAGATATTTAACGATTATTATTTGTCCATTGAAATAACAATTGAACATCTAGTTGCTCATGTTCACACTCAATATGGTATATCAGAGTCTTTGATTAAGCGCCTCCAATTGATAGTTGAACAAAGTTGCTTATTTCAATATGAGAGCATGTTATTTTGCATGTAGCAATATTGGTGCTCATAAGGCCAACTAGTTATCATGAATTCTCTCCATTACAATTGACTTTTGATCATAAGCCAAATATTTTCCATCTTAAATTTTTTGAGTGCGTGATATATGTTTCAATTGTTCCACCGCAACGCATAAAAATGGGTCTCCAAAGAAGGTTGTGGTGTATGTTGGAATCTCCCTCTATTATCAAAATATTTGAAACATATGACATGAGATTTATTTACGGCAAGATTTGCTGATTTTCATTTTGATGCATCAATATACCAAATATTAGGGGGAGAACATAAACAGTTGAAAAAATGAGATAGATTGGAATTCATTATCCGTATCTTATTTAGATCCTCTAAAAAATCAATGTGAGCAAGAGGTTAAAAAGATTATTTATTTGCAAAATATTGCAAATCTACTAACCTTTCAAAGGTTACTGAATCTTATATTTCAGCTGCAAATGCTTCAGTTCGAGTTGATGTTCCGACGTGATAAATTGTTAAACCAAATGAGTCTAAATTACGTTTAAAACGTGATAGGCCAATTGATTTCAAGGATAAAAATTCTCGAAAAAGAAAATAATAATAATCAAGAAGATCATATTATGGAGGAAATTACTCAAGAAGAGCTCCAAGACATAACAAATTATAAGACCACAAAGAAGGTCCAAATAACTGAAAATAATGAGAATGAAGAAATCTCAATAAGTTATGTCTCGATGAAAAAATGATGGAATCGAGATATGATTTTAGGGTTGTAGGGTAGATAACCAAAATCATCTTTCGAATACTTGGATGCCTATAAGAAATAATATACAACTCATCGATATCATCTACTTAGTTTCTCATTTGTTCAAAAAAATATTGATATGAGGCATCATATTTCTTGTCCACAATATAAAAAGCCACCGAAAATATATGATTTTCAGCATCTTGTGTTACCGTTGATAGCAAAACTTATTCATACTTGCCCTTCAAGAATGTCTCATCAACGACTATGACTTTTCTCATTTGTTAAAAATCAAGAATTCAAGATGCATATGGTACAAAGAAGTATTTGAACCTCCCATTTTTATCAACCGATAATTCTCGTCTTGCTTCCTGAATTTGTAATTTTAAGCATGAACGGTACGCATCAAGGACTGCATATGTTCATGTGTTTCCCTAACCAAAGACTTATCAATCTACATGCCTTTATAAATCTTTCAATAACTTACCTTACAATTCAAATTTGTGCGGAGTTGATGTGTCATATCTCTTGTATATGGACCTTTTTCATGGAAAAAATTCAAAGTATTTATCTATGACTTGTTGTGACATGCGAATTATGGCTCGCAAGATGCTCTGAACCACGCGTATGATACTTTTCATAGATTCTAATACAAAATCTATCACTACTTGTAAATTTCACAACCCTCAACCATCACTTGTACTCTGGATGTGCGCATTTAAAAGAATACACATTACGAGAATTAATTACCTTTGTGAGCCTAAAATATTTTTTCAAGCAAGCAATTTTCGATGAAGTTACTAGTTCTTTCTTGTTGTTGAATACTATTTCCTTATAAAAATCGATTTCATCATCTTAAACATTGCTTACCGTGATTATTGAGAACAAGTTACATTGTTGCTCCCAATAATAGGCGTAGGAGTTTGGTCCTCCCCAAGATCCGACACATTCACTTCGTCTTCTTCACTTTGATCATGTGGATTATTCATGTTTATCGCATCAAATTCATCATTTAATACATCTTGATGGTCTTGTTCTAACTTGTCTCATTAGTGTGAAAACTGGCAAGCCTATGAAGCGGTGCCGGTGCGCTAGCTTAAGAAAAGCAGTTCATTCAGGATGTTAAAATTCACATTCAATTGGGAAACCTTTAACATATTCTTCTTTTTCTCTCTCTATTTGTGACCATTCCCACTTCAAATTCTCCTCAATAGGGGTTTCAACCACGTACACTCGTAACATCGACCTAATTGCATCTCTTAGATAAACAAGCAAACTAAGCTGATCGATTATCTTAAAAGGAAGGCCCCTCTGATTTTCATAAGTGTTGTGCATGTAAATAATGCCAAGATCTTTCGGTTGACAATTGAGTCGACAATAGTTGATGATTAAATTCACAAAATCATTACACAAAATATTTCTTCGTCAAACATCGCTATCCACTGTTTAATGTCACCATTATTTCAACATCAAATATATCAATTATTCTTCTCGATTTATTCACCATAACAATCAACCCCTATTGTTATTGATTCCTCCATTAATGACAACTAAAATTTTTTATTTAAAAAACAATTATTAATGATGGTATAGTATACAATTTCTGCATCTATTGCAATAAATAAGTCATTTATTGCAATATATGACTATCCTATTGCGATAGATGAGTCATCTATTGCAAAAGGTAAGCCATATATTGCAACACATAAGGCATTGTTGTAATATATAAGTCATCTGGTGCAACATATGATTATTAAGTCATTTGTTGCAATATATGACTTATCCAATTGGAGTCATCTGTTGCAAATTAATTAATCTGCTGCAACAGATATACTCATCTGTTGATTAAGTTGCAAAATCTATTGAAAACACGAATATAAATTATTAAAAAAATACAGGTATATCTAGATGAATAATTCAATCAAAGAACTATTATTTTTACTTACCAATCACTTTATGAAGTAATGTCAAGTGATATAGAACAAAATATGCTCCAATGATTAACTAAATCCAAAGAGAGAAAAAGCAACAACAACAATGATGAGCAGCAAAACGTTAAGAAAAGGAAGAACAAAAAGAAGAAGAAGGAACAAGAAGGATCAGTGGCGGAGCCAGGATTTCTCTGAAAGGGGTTAGAAGTATAAAGAAGTAAACATGTGAAAATTACAAGATGAAAAATTGAGCGAGATAGGAGGAAATTAGTAATCTGAATTCGCTAAGTTTAACCTGCATTGTCATGTCCCATTTAGTTTTTTCTACTTTTACCCTATTTCATTGAGCTTTTTAAAATATATTTCTTGTGCTTTTTTCTCTCTTTTATATTGTAGTGTTTTATTCTATTTATTTTTTTACTTTTTCTAAATCAACCACTAAGATTCTTTTAAAAAGGTGTAAGAATTGAGTTATAATGTATATTCATAAGATAAATAACTGTCATCCTCAATTTTTTAGTTCATTTAATTCAATTTACTAGGTTAGTCATTTGTGAAAAAGACAAATGATGAATAAATCAAACAAGTTTAGTTAAGTTTTCATCTTTTTAAAATCGAACTGAATAAATAAGAAAGAAATATTATAAAATTAAGGGGGAAAATCAATTAATTAGATTTTATTAAAAGAATATTCACGACTTCTAAATTTCTTCATTCAATTAACTTTAATTAATTTATTTTATATAATATTTTTTGTAACTCGATTTCAAATTTAGTAATAATTCATTAGTTTTTAAAAGAGTTTCGAGTTAGTACATGGAAAGAGCAATATAAATAAGAAGAATAAAAGACAAAAATATCAAAAATATGTCTAATGAATTTAAACAAAGATAAATTGAGAAAAAAAAAAATAGCACAGAGAGAAAAATAATAATAACAAAAATAACAAAATTTTACATCGAATCTAAAAACAATGAAGCATTTCATTGAGTTGGGATTCGAGCTCAAAACCTGAGCCCATTCATCCTTCCAAAAACAATGAAATGGAGTTGAGATTTGAGCCCAAAACCAGATCCCATTCAGCCTTTCAAAGCAAAAAAACAAGTGAAAAAGTGTTGCATGCAAAAATCGAACTCGAATCATTTCGGTAAAAAATGAACCACTTAGCCACTGAGCCGTGTTTTCTTTTGTTTTAAGGAGGTTCATTTTAATATATGTAATATTGTAATCATAGAATCAAAAAATGACCTTATATATAGAGTGTAATTTTTCGACGAGGGGGTTCAGGTGAATTCCCTGAGCTCGATGTGGGTCCGCCCCTGAGTAGGATGAACAAACGAACAAGAGGAAGACGAAGAAGCGAGATGCGGGGGAGGGGGGGGAGCTGCAAAAATGACTTTTTTCCCTTTTGGGTTCCCTCCCCTTTTAGTTAAAATTAAGATTTTACCGTTTTAGTAAAACCCTTTAAATCTTCTTTTAATAAAATGGACCAAAGTATCAACTTAAAAAACTGAGGGTAACTCCCACACATCCCTTATAAATCATTAATCCTTAATTACATAGGTGTGAATTATGACCTACAATCAACTAAAATAACTTGAGTCACTACAATCTAATTTTCAAAACTTTTTTGTAAGTTGGTGATATTGAATTTTTGACACTATTTGTTTGTCCCATGAACAAAACTTAAGTTTAATAAGTTTTATCCCATGAATAATAACACTTTTAAGTTTTATTAAAAATTCAAAACTATCTTCTTTTAAAGCTCATTAAGCTTTGTACATAATTTTTTCGTCCCTTAATAAATAAGCCTAGGTATTTTTAAATCAAAATAAATTTAAAACACTTCTCTAATGTTTAAATAAAATAAAATAAAATGCTTTAAAAAATTTATTTTTAAATACAAAATATAAAATTAATTCCTAAATTGTCACTTTTTAACTTGTAAAAACTTAGGCTTTGGGTTAATATAATTTGATAAGAGGCTCTAAACGTGCGGATGCTTGTTTTTATAGAGTTTTGGTGTTTCTCAACACATCGGAGCAGTCACAGTTGCTCCTTCCTAGGTTACCTCTTAAGCATAAACGGTAATCTCTCTCCTTCTGTCACCTTCCCCTTTTCAAGCAAGGGTCATCCCTATTTCTCTTTACCTCACCTACAAACTACTTTTTCTCTCCTATGGCCACTGCTTTCTGAGTTTACATTATTATCAAGATTATACCCCAAAAAAAAAAAACAAAAAAAAACAAGGTCTGTTCTTTGTTTCAGTCGCTTTGTTTTGCATTCTAAATATCGTACAACAGTTTGCAAAGAGACATTAATGAAAAAGATTGAATTTTTATGTTAAAGAATGAATCTTTTTGATTGATTTTGTTGGTTTCTTGGATCCCCCCATTTCCTCAACAATAATAGATAACTGAAATTGCTTTATTGTATTGTGTTTGGGAATCACTCTTCTTGTGAGCCTTATTTGCCTATTTCATGTTGTGGGTCGACATTCTTTTTCTTGCTGCTGCTCTCCTGTGGCCATCTATTAGGAATTTGATTACTTTTACTTGTTTATTTCATATAATAAGAAAATTAGTAAGGTTCAGAAAAGAAGATTTATGTTTTCTTTTGTAGATATAAGCAGTATGAAGCTATTTTCATAGCATGTTTGCATTTTGATTTTAGATAATTGTGGACTAATCCTGTAAACATTTGCTTTATATTAGGTATTATTATACCTTTAATAAGTTGCAATGTATGTGAGGAGAATAAGAAACAACAACCAAAGATGGAATCTTGTATTTCAGCGTTTTAACCATTATGTTAGTTCTGGCTACAGAACTTACTCCCCTACACAATCTTCAATCGTTACACAGATACCTTTAGACTGCAACTCTCTAGGCAGCGTGATAGGAAGAGCTTTGTTAGATACATCCAAGTCAATACAGACTGCTTCTCAACGGGAGAATATAAGGTTGTTGAGGAGTTCACCTGCTAGTTGGAGGTGGACATATTTAAGGTATTTTAGCTCTAAAGGTGATGGTAGGGATGCAAGTGAGGATAAACATGTACACACGAGAGATGGTGCGAGCTCTGATAAGGGAACAGTTCGGAAGGAAAAAAGTGGTCAAGATGTGAGACATTGTGATGCACATACTCAGCTTGGTGAGCAAGAGCAGAAGGAGTGGCTCCGGAATGAAAAGCTGTCTATAGAGAGTAAGAAGAAAGAATCACCTTTCCTGAGTAGACGGGAAAGATTTAAAAATGAATTCTTACGGAGGGTTGTTCCATGGGAGAAAATAGCTCTATCATGGGATACATTTCCTTATTATATCCAGTGAGTTCCTGACTTTCAGATCTATTTTCTTTTGCTGCAAGTTGCAGTTTGGATTAATTTTTGTCAACAACCTTGCAGTGAACATACAAAAAATGTTTTAATGGAGTGTGTTGCTTCCCATTTAACGCACAAGAAGGTTACTGTGGCTTATGGTGGCCGCTTGAGTTCTTCAAGTGGGAGAATCATGCTTCAGAGTATACCAGGTAGAGTTTTCTAGACTGGTATGAGATGCCCGTCTGTAATACAATGTACCTTTTTATTATTGCTTGCAAAGAAAGACATTGAATTCTTGATGATGTTGCAGGGACTGAGCTTTATCGAGAAAGACTAGTTCGAACCCTTGCTCGAGATTTAGAAGTACCATTACTGGTGCTTGATAGCAGCATTCTAGCTCCATATGTAAGCTATTTATATTTTATTTTTGTGGTTGTATCCTTCTAACTAAACTAATTCTACTTACAACAATATGCTTTTATTCAAATATATTCCTAAAGTTACTTATGCACAGGACTTTGGTGAAGATTGCTCATCTGAAAGCGAATCAGATGTAGAATCAGGTGAAGAGTGTACTTCTGATTCTGAAATAGAAGATGCAAATGATGCAAGTAACGAGGAAGAATGGACAAGCAGCGCTGAGACAAAGTCAGAAGCTAGTGAGGAAGACGTTGATGTTGAGGCATCAGTGGAAGCCTTAGAAAAACTTATTCCATTCAACCTTGAAGACTTTGAGAAGGTAAAATCTGAAAGATTCCAAAATTATATCTAGCAAGAAGACACAGAATTTCGGAAATGGGTGAAAATAATGCAGTCAACATCTTTGGTAAAAAGAAAAAGAATCTCTGTTTAACATGTGTTAGCTGTAAACAATTTGAAATCTGGAACTTTGTTGCTGTAAACTGTGTAATGGGCACAAACATATGAAATATGAGAACTTGGTAATTCAGTTGGTTGAGGAGTAGGAATATTAGGCCAAAATGTATAAATAAGATGATCCATGAAAAGGGAATATGATATATTTCCTTGAATACTCTTCGATAGAGTCACCAATAGGTGGGAGTTCGGACTAGGTTAGAGAATTGGATTTAAATTGTAATATCTTCTTTTCTCTGTTTCCAATGAATAACTTGTAACTTTTTTTGAGAGTCATATGTAATATGCTCTGGTTGAGATTACATCCATGTTTTTAGATTGTTGCCAATTTCTACAATATGTCGGTAATTAGAGATCCATGAGTATGGATGTTCAATGAATTTCTCATGGTTTTGATTTTAAACATTGCATGGATTGCAGAGAGTTTCCGGAGAACTTGAAAGTTCCTCAGAATCAACCCCGGATGCTGTTGATCAATCAGAGAAAGCTCAACGTCCCTTCAAAAAAGGTATAAAGTGCTATGTTGCTGAAGAATTCCTCATAGGCTGTGCTAACATGTTTTTTTGTTTGGCTTATCAGTTTTCATGAAACCGACCTCTTACAATATTTCAATTCTCTTTGACCTCACATTAAGCTTTGCTTGCAAAAATTCATTGCTTATTCTATTAGTATATTCATTATGTTACTTAAACAACACCTATGAGAATTGGTCAAGTGGATCTAGAATGGTTCATATCTATCCTGGTCTATCATGGTAGATTCTAGAATATTGTGATCAAAAGATTTGTATATACTTGTGGCATAAAAAAGTCTTGATTCATTCTTTTTCTTTCATAACGAGGTCTCGCAGCCAACTTGCATGCACTTTGACTATTCCACCTCGTATCTGCTACCTCTTAGCAGTAGCAGTACATGGATTGGGTAACTCTGCCTACCACTGCTTAGATAAATGAAAAAAAAACACCTAGCTTTTTTGTTTCCGATGGGATTTGAACCTTGGTCTTTAATATTTTCACTCACTTCATTGAGTGCCATGCCGCACCGTTGGGTGCAAATTTTTTTTAATCATCTTCTCTTGTCAGTTTTCAAGGAATGACCGAGTAAGTTCATCTTCCAGCCATTTCATCCCATTGCCCAAATTATCAGTTTAAAAGGCGATGCCTCGTTGCCTTTTATTGGTGAGGCGTGGCGAGTTTAGACAGGCGGCGAATGGCGACGCGGCGAGGCCAGGCGACAAGGCGTCGCCTTTTTATTTGTTTTTTAAAAAGATCTAATTTAATAATTAAAAGGCAATATTAGGGTTTATTTGGTGTTTTTGCAAACCTAGGATTTCTTCTCTATCAAGGTAGGGGTAAGGTTTGCGTACACTCGATCCTCCCTAGACCCTACTTGTGGGACTATACCGAGTGTGTTGTTGTTGGTTGATCAGAGATTCCCATTCTTGTAATGGTGGGGTGGATGTCGGTATCTGGTGGGATAGGCAGTATGCAAAAGCTAGTTAAGATACCTCTACCGTGTTTATATATGTTAGAAGGGAAGTGAATTAATTAGTTCCTTTAGATGGGTAAATAGAAAAATAGTATTGATTAGGATGGAAAGAACAAACCTCGTCACTAGAGAGGTAATAAATTGCTTGATTTGATTAGTTTAGTTCTAGAAGTGATGTTAGTCTTATCAATTTTTTTTTGTAATTTGGGTTGTTAAGTCCAATCCATCTAGTGTAACAATAGGCCTCCCATTTGAATATTACAATATAATAATATATCTCCCATTTTAATAGAAGAAAAGGTAAGATCACCCAAATAAACAATGAATATGTGGTGGTACTGATTTGGACATGCAACAATCTTGATTTTGAGAGGTATCTGAGGCGGGAGAGCATTCTCTTGAGTCTAGCTAGGAAACTTAATCATGAAGAAATGTGGGGATGATTTGGTCGAATAACTTTACTTACCAGATTTCTCTTACTAAAAAACACTCCTCGTCCTCCACTTGCTCTCTTCTTGTTCTTCTTTCCTTGAAACACCTTAAGACTCTCGGGCCTCATTTGTTTTCATTAAGGTTAGATGTCTGAATCTGAATGCACATCTAAATATTAAGATGTGCATTAAGATTTAAAGGTCTAAAACTGAATACACATTTGAATATTAAAATGCTACATTAAGATTTGAATACTAATAGTTAAGAGTTAAAGATTGTTTGTTTTCTCAACATCTGAATGTATAAAATTATGTCTCTGTTTAAATAATAAATATAAAATTCAAATGAAATACTAAATTGATCTAATATTATATGAAAAAATATTTTTAAATTTTTATATGGCAGTTGTGGTGGTGATGACAAATGATAGTGATTGTGTGTGTCGATTTCAGATGGATGTTGGCTGATGATGGTGGTTGTAGATAGTATCTTATGGTATAGTGTTTAACAGGAGTGATTAATCGTGGCTGTTGGTGGCGGCTGATAATTAGTAGTGGAATGATAGTAAATGGCGATGGTGAATGGTGATGACGGTTAGCGATACATAATATTGACTAATGATTGTAATTAGTGGATGTAATAATGGTCGGTGGTGATGATTGCAAATGATGTCTAATGGGGATGATAATTGATTTTGGTGATTGGCGGTAAAATTGGTTGTGGTTGGGCTGAGGATGGTAGGTGGTGGTGATTACGGTTGTAGTAGTTGTGGGTGGTGGGTGAAAATAGTTGGATTAGCGGTGAACTGTCATCTTTGTAGAAATTTCAATTTTTAAATAGACATCTTAATGATATCAAGACTTTGTTGTAGATCATTCATACCTATTTAGACTCATTAAGTGGTTATAAAATAAGAAAAACAAACACGCCTAAAGATTAAGATCCGAATGATTAAGCTTCAGACCTTGAAAACAAACAAACTTAATGACTAAGATCTGAATGATTATGATTGTGACTTTCATTAAGTGCAAACTAATGAGGCCTCAAACTTCCCTCTCTGCTACTTCCCAAGAGGGTGGTTCAACCCTTTTCATATGACCATTAGCTCGGAAACACCTCTTCTTGACCCTAAGCTAATCACATTCTGTGGTAGTTTTCAACCTTCTTTCTTTCTTTGCATATCAGCCTGAGCTTCCGTGCTATTTCCATGATGGAGGGAATCAGAATTTACTTCAATGCAGGCTTCAAATTTTTTGACATTACTTGATGGACAGTAGGTAGAGACACTTGGAATGAATGGGTGGAGAGAAGCCTTAACATGATGGGAAGATCAACCATGAGTATGAAGATCATGAGATGGATCTGCACTATACTTAAAGAAGCATCCAAAGAAGAGAAAACTATTATCAGGAGGTGGAATAATAAGGAGAAACTTTCAGAGTTTTTCTGCACAAGGAAAGCGAATGAGCATGGTAGAGATATGAGCATTCTCTCGCTATATGCTTTGGAAAGATCAGTTAGTATTATCCCTGAATCAGCCTAAATGCAGGGTGGAAAAGGGTGGAAAGAGATAGCATTTAAGATAGATAGGTTCTTTCAATGCTCCAATCTTAAGATGCCGGCAGAATCCAAGATCAATTAAGTAAGACCTCTCTTGTGCTAAAGTAGCTGGTGAGAGTTAATGGCACTCAAATACCCTTCGAGACTCAACAGTTACCTCTTCCAAAGGAGACATTAGTAGCATGATATCCCCTGGAGTAAAAGGAAGTGGCTTGTTCAAGAGGTGCATTGTTACATCATTTATTGAGGGAGAAACAGAGATCCCCTCACTGTCAGACATCATGAGATGGACCGCGATAACGTGGAAAGCAGTATTTGGGATCAACATTTATGATATGGCTAACATGATGATTCTTTTCAAATAGAAATATGGCAGAACAAATCATTTTGGGAGTGGAAATGGAAGAAGACCGAAGTTAGTCTCCAATATTGGAACCCAGTTATTGGATGTGTACTAGCAATACAAAAATCCAACACCACTTGGATTCGAGCTTTGGGGGTGCCATTATAACTCTGGTCTCAACTTACCTTCAAAGAGATCAGGAATCTGTGAGGAGGCTGGGTTCCAACTGATGAAGAGACAGATTTGAAGATACATTTGAAATGGGCAACAATCTAGATAATAGGGGATGGTTGCAATTGCCCTATAATGAGGTTTTTATTGAAAAAGACGGGATTAAATTCGTCATATTCCCATTTGGGTGGAAAAAAGTGTTCGATTTCAGGAGCGCACCAGAGATGGAGGGCAACAGTGAAAGATCCAAAAGTCTAAAGCACCCTTTGGACCTCCATGTCATTCTCACTCTTGTTTTAGACCTTTGGACCTCCATGTCACTCTCACTCTTGTACCTTCTAAAACTTTGTTATTAGTAGTAGCAAGCGATCAGTAGTTTGTGGTAGTGACAGTTATTAGTTATGTTGGTTCTGGATATATTCATGTTAATAGCCCCCTTTCCATTAACAGGATAATTGCACTGTTAGTCCTTCCGTTATTGATAAGTTCTGAATTTGGTCCTTGCAATACTTGGCTAAATACATTTAACATTCAATTAACTAAGATGTGTAATTTTGGCCTCTTTATAGGAAATATGTTATGTTATTATTTCTAGAATTATCTTTTCCTCAAATGTGGAGTAGCAATACAAATTTGACATACCACATCGTTAAGCAAATGGTTTAGCACACTTCATCAAAAAGTAGAGGGTTTAGCACTTGATAATTCGTTATGTTTCTGAAGATTCACATTAATAGGGATCAAAAGTGCACATATCAACTGCGAGCTATTGCATAGGAGCGGGGGTTTTACCCTGTGCGCACCCAAAGGGTAGCGGCTGCGGGTTTCCCTTGTCATCAAAAAAAAAAAAAGTAAAAAAAGTGCACATATCAATTCGTTATGTGTTTGACCAGAAATCACAAGGACGAAAATCAGAATTTGTCAATATTTTAGGCCTTTAGGAACTGAAAGCACAAATTTTCCAATAGTAACTCAATTGGAAGATGATTGATGATCATTAAAGAATCATTTGGGAGCTTCAGTGCAATATATTTGAGTTTGACACTTGAAATAGCAAAACGATATTCAATTTGGATAACTGCAAAATTTACCATCTTTTGAGGAGTATTTGTTTTTACTTTGTCATGGTAGTTTCCATTGTTGTATTTACATTTTAATTTACATACAGGAGATCGAGTTAAATATACTGGACCTTCTGGTGTTGTGAAAGCCGATAACAGGTTAGTTTCTTACGTGGCACATCTCTCAAGTATTTCGCTATTTGTTTTCTTTGACATCTTAAACAATCAAATCTTGCTGCTTCAAGAGTTGTAACTTTTTGCCAGTTAGCTGGTTTATTAGAGTGGATTAATCTTCCTTCCCAATTTTCATAGCCAGTTCATCTATATTTTCATGATTCCTATTGCATTAACTTGTGCTTTATTATTTTCCTTCAACTTTTCTTACAGGCTTACAGGCCTTTATGAATTAAACCATTTTCAAGAGAGATAATGCAGAAGTGCCTGTAATACCTCCATTGGGTAGTTAGGAATTGTTGCATAACCGATTAGGCTTTGAGCTCTCTGCTTCTGTGAACTTATTAAGCTTTTAAAGGAGCAACCAATAACCCAATAAGCTGACTTGGTTGGTAGGTGAACTCCGAGTGCAAAAAGTAGCATTAGAGCGAGTTCTGTGTGTATTCACTGTCCATTATCATAAATAAAATTAAGAATTTATTGTCATGTCGTATCTTAGACCAAGACATTGATAATTAAACCTTGAGAACATATAGTTTTGTAGGAAGAATCTGAATTCCCTGTCTTCTGAATTTTTTTATAAGACTACTAAACAATCATTCGAATTTATTGTCATGTCGTATCTTAGACCAGGACATTGATAATTAAACCTTGAGAACATATAGTTTTGTAGGAAGAATCTGAATTCCCTGTCTTCTGAATTTTTTATAAGACTACTAAACAATCATTCGAATTTATTGTCATGTCGTATCTTAGACCAAGACATGATATAAACCTTGAGAACATATAGTTTGTAGGAAGAACCTGAATTCCCTGTCTTCTGAATTTTTTATAAGACTACTAAACAATCAATTCGAATTTATTGTCATGTCGTATCTTAGACCAGGACATTGATAATTAAACCTTGAGAACATAATAGTTTTGTAGGAAGAATCTGAATTCCCTGTCTTCTGAATTTTGTATAAGACTACTAAACTATCATTCTTTTTGTAAGACTACTAGTTCTCTAGTACTAAACTAAGCGGGCTTAATCTTTTGGTCAAGCATTGATTGAACTCAAAACAAGTTCTTGATAAGCTACTCGGATCATTATAAATTATAATTCCTGGCTTCTACTTGAGCTACTCTGACCATTATAAAGATATATTTCCTGGCTTATACTTGGAAGTTGACCCACACTGCCCCATCAGATCTTGGTTGTGCCTGACTAGGGGAATGTAACAAGCGTTGCTCACATGTGCAACATTGTAGTAATTCTTAAGAACTCCCTTGATTCTTGAATACACCATCACAATGGGCTTTTTTGATGTAAGAATAAGAGAGGTAGAATCTGCTTTTAAGTTTTACCAAATCAGAAAAATTGACCAACCTATGATCTATGTATTGGGTATATTTGTTGGTTAACCTCCTGATCCAGAAGACTGCTATGTTGTTCGGCTGAAGGGTACCTTTGTTAAAAAAAATCCATGTAGTCATATAGAAAGAGGTAAAGCGTAGTGATTTGTACTATTGGAGAAGTTTCGGTTGCTGACGGGAAATAGCAGATAGGTGCAAGCAAGTGTAGTAATTCACAAGGCTTTCCACAAATTAATATTTGGCTGTAGAAGGATCAAATTGTGCCAATCCTTGCTTTTCTTTCTGTTACTTTGAAAGTAGCTGCATCAGTTTCTTCCACTTGAATTATCAATGTACCTTTTTATTTCTCATCAAATGATGACTTCTTCTGGAAATCCTAGCTGCTCTTAGGATCAGATGCGGGCAAGATTTTTGTTAATTGCTGAGATGTTCAATCAACACCCTGAAAGAATGATTCACCCAAAAGATAATGAAGAACATGAGGAGGAAATTCCCTCAATGCAGTACAAGGAAAGTAAAGTAAAAGTGCTAAACAAAAAATTTGTGGAGATCGTTTTTAGGTCTCTAAACACTATCCTGAAACAATCCTTCTGCCTATTCATGGTTTCACCTTTAAACTACCATTTCCGAAACTGAGACGGAATGCAATCTTATATATATCTCGTTTCACAGTGTTATATGTGGAGGAATCCATTGTTAATAAGATGAAATCAGCTTTCTTTTCTTCCAATATGTGTTGTAGTGCTTAATAATGTCCTACATAAATTTGATTTGACAACAAATATACTGGGCAGTTCATTATTGATAACAGGAACAGATTATTTTGAAGTCAGTTCATTCTTGATCACAGGAGCAGATTATTTTGAAGTATCTGTCATACTTTGTGCTTCACACTTCAAATTCCCTGTATATACTAGTGACACTTGGGACACAAATATTGGAATGGATAAATGTGGTGATTGTTTAGTGAACAGATATCATAGCAAGGCTAAAACAGTATAAAGTAGATTGTCGCATATTGATGGAAATTGTTGGAGTTGGGTAACATTAAATGTGATGTCTGAATTTCTTTGAATTTTATGGATTTTGCTGTTGTAGGAAACTGACAAGAGAGGAAAAAGGAAAGTGACAGATTTAGGAGGTGCATCATGTTTAAAGCTTAGGAGTTAGAAAGCAGACTTTACTCATTTCATTTTCTTTACTGTACTTAAAACAATTTTGGGTGTCTTAACGCTTTATTTAAGAAATTGTTCTCAGAAAGTCATGCAGCTTTATTTTTTTCTTCCTGTCCATGCTTTGCTTGCGAATAGAGCTGAGAGTTTTTTCGTAGAGCGGAGGTCTTAGCATTAGCATAACCCATGTGAACTTTGGATTAAGCGGCATTTAGTAATTGACTCCAATTCTCACAGGATTTTATTGGGGAAGATACCTACTTCTGGTGGTCCAACGAATGCTTACACTGTTATTCATGGAAGGTGGGTTGGTCAGTCGTCACAAGTGCTATAGAGAAAATTTTCTCCATTTGGTGCTTGGACGCATGATTGTATCTTTGACGTTCTTTCTCACTGGAAAGATACAATATATTTTGGATGGTGGTGGGGCTTTTTGCTCATCATCCACCAGGATTCCTTCTGGCTTCTTTCGTAATGTTCTTTTGATGTTCATAGTGATATAGTGCAATGTTCTTGTGCTAGTGCAAGCCTTCGCTTTTATATCTAAGATATGAGAGAAGTACGAAGGTTCTGCAGTTGGTCTAGGTATCTGCAGTGACTTAAGTTTTGTTACTGCTTTTAATCATTGTTGTCGCCATCATTGTCAATGTCCTGATCATTTTTGTTATTTGTTTGTTATTCTCAATGTTATGGCCAATATCAATGTACCTGGCTCTTTAAAGAGGTTTAAGGCTCTTTAAATTAATTTGAACCATCTATGTAGTAGTTAATGTATTTTACAAATGTATCTGCCTTAAAGTTATTCAAGTAAAGAGTTGCTTAAATGTCATGTTTAACAGAGGCATGCATGCATGCATGTAAGTTGTTACATCCGATATGCTTTTGCAGGTCCATGTCCAGTGGTCAACGTGGTGAGATATATGAGGTGAATGGTGATCAGGTTGCTGTAATTTTTGATGTTAGCGAAAAGCAAACCATGGAAGAAGAGAAAGACGAGAAACCCAAAGCACAGGATGTGAAACCATCAATATACTGGATTCCTGGTATGTATTATTCATTTGGATTTGCATTATTCATCTGGATTTCAGTAAAATTGGTGATAAAGTCATATTCTTACTCAACTAAAAAAGAAGATATTTGGTTTTGGTATAACTTGTCAGCTGCTAATTGTGACTTCACATTGGATGATCTAAAAACTTTCTGTCTTAATAGACGACAGACAATTGGCATATTAATATTGGTGGAGATGACTTTTATTTGACCTGTCAATTTTTTTTTTCTTTTGCGGATAGGCTATTCAACATGAAATTTATTTGTCATAAAGAGAGTATATATTTTCAATTTCCCAGTTTCAACATTAAGTCTGTAGATCGAGTAGGTACAGTGGTATTTTTTATATCTGAACATATATGCGTAATTAATTTTTTTTTTTTTTTTTACCGTCTACTCTGCTTGCAGCCAACGAGATTGAGCATGATCTTGATGCTCAGGCTGAAGACTGCTACATTGCCATGGAGGTGCTATGTGAGGTATGGTGCTTTAATTGATCAATAGTCTTTATGTTCTTTTACCACACTGATTTCAAATTTGAGTTTTTTTTCCATTCTATTTTGTTCAGGTTTTGAAGTCTGCACAGCCTATTATTGTGTACTTTCCAGATTCTTCATTATGGCTGTCTAGAGCTGTTTCCAAGGCAAATAGAAAAGAATTTGTGCACAAGGTGCAAGAAATGTTTGACCAATTATCAGGACCTGTTGTCTTGATCTGTGGTCGAAACAAAGTTGAAACAGGGTCAAAAGAAAAAGAGAAATTTGTAAGTCCATAAATTGACCTGTCTTATTCCTAGACTCTTTTCAGTTATTTTGTGTTTTAACTTCTTTTTATCTGTCAACAGACCATGATTCTTCCCAATTTGGGCCGCCTAGCGAAGTTGGTAATCCTCGTGATCTTTAGTCAAATTAAGTCTGTTTGAACTTTTTAAGGTCCTACTATTTGTTTTCTGTTGTGTGATGGGTTCATGACAAACCATTGTGGTATCTGAATAATGGCTTTAGCTGCTTATGAGTTGGGTATTGAATGATGACCTTCCTATAATAGATGATATTTCAGTGACTAAATGCTGAATTCAATTTTATTTATGTATTGGTGACTAGTTGGGTGTGCTGTAAAATCATATCCTAGTTTGTACTTGATATCTCATTTCAAGTGTGCACTGGCTTTATAGGAGGCGTCATCTATGGTTTCCTTGTAAATTGGGGTTTTGAATATTCACCTGAATTAGTTGCATTTTGTTGGTGTATTTTCCAAATATTTTATGCACTATTTTTTTTCTTCAATATTTTGTTTTTCAGCCTCTTTCTCTGAAACGACTAACGGAGGGATTAAGAGCAACAAAACATTCTGTAGACGATGATATACATAAGCTCTTCTCTAACGTAATGAGTATTCATCCGCCAAAGGTTAGTTTTTTTTGTGCTTATTGTAGTACGTAGATTTTTATAGTAATTTGTGATGTATCGGCTGATGCTGTAGCTATGGGTGGCATGGTATGGTATTTGAAAGTTTTGATACTGTAATTTTGGTATTTGGTTTTAAAAAGTTATACCGTTACCATACCAATTTAATTCGGTACATTGAAGTTCGGTTTCGGTATTCTACGGTATGGTAATTCGGTAACCATAGTTTGTTCAACTTCGACTAATATATATTCGTATAATAGAGTATTATGACTTCGGTAACTAAAATAGGTCTCAATTGTATCATACTAACACATTACACATGTAGAAATATAAATCATATATTTATATAAAAGAGAACCCTAGGCCCGCCTACCTGGCGCCACCACAAGCTAGAATTTCCTTTTAAATTTATTTATTTCCAAAAATAGTCTTCCCCTTTCATGAAAAGATGTGACTTTTATGAAGAGTTGCGACTATTATGAAAAGTTGCGACTTTTATGAAAAATTGTGACTCTTATGAAAGGTTGTGACCTTTCCGAAGGGTTGCAACTTTTTCAAAGAGTTGTGACATTTCCGATAAGGCACAATAAACATTTGTTCACACTATCCTTTGTTGTCTATAAATAGAGGGATTTCATCTCATTTTAAAACAACAAAAATTCTGAACTTCTTCTTCTTCTTCTACACAATTAAATATTCGTGCGCTTTGTTCCTGTTGAGTGAACGAGTGGTTCACTGACACCATTGTTTTTGTATCAATACACTTGTGAATAGAATCGTTCCATCTGGAGAGGATCTATTCCTTTAAACCTCGGCTACTAGAAGGGAATAATTTTCTTAAGGGGACACTGTGCATTCAGTGGGTTCAATTTTTTTCTTTCTGATTCATTCTTTTTTTATAGATCCTAATATATTTTTTTTACAGTCATTAATTTATGCTTATGATATTAATTGTTATTTTTGAGTACATGTTTTAAACTTTATTGTTTATGTTTCTGTAAAGTTATTGTGTATAAGTATTTGTTAGTACAGATAAAATTATTTATTTATTAGAAAATTTAATATCTCATGTTAATGTTTATTTAATTTCCAAAATATATCAAATAGTAACACTTCCTGGAGGCAAAAGGATAAATTATAAAATCAAATTAAAGATGATTAGTTGAAGGATAAATGATAAGATGTTATAATTATCATTTTCCTTTACGTTATTAATGTTCTTTACTACGTAATCTTGTATGTAAGACAATATAGTGTTTTAGTTTTAATGATTGATAGGTTTTAAGTATTATTTTATAAATTTTGTGATATCAAATTCCCGCGCGCGTAATTTTACTAGTTCAAAATAAAGTCCAAACAACTCCTTTTGTTAATCAATTACATTTCAATCAAAATAGAGTAGTCAAAGTTTCAACTTCTGAACATTTAGTTTATATTAATATTAAGTTGCATATTTGTTTGTAAATATATATGTTATTTATGTAACTATATACTTCGGTATGATATTCAGTATTTCGGTATTTTGTCTTTAAATACCAAATACCGTACCAAATACCAAAAAAAATAAATATACCATATACCACACCAAATACCATAATACCAAAACCACAGTATTAAAAATTTCATTATGATATGGTAATTCGGTATATACCATACCATGTCCACCCCTAGCTGGAGCCAATAGGGGGAGGAGATGTGTTTAGAAACCGTAGCTGCCTTCTCCTATTTTGTACTCACTCTGTGCCTCTTAATCTTAGTAGAATTATAACCAAAGTCATTTTGCAATGTCGCTAGTTGATCCAATGATTTTGTTGTCTTTTTCTGTGTAATATGGAAGCAGTGTTTTTACACAATTCGTAAATTTCCCCAAATGTGATCCACATATCCAGGAGCCAAGTGCCTAACTATGTTTTTTTTTAGACAAATAACAGTTGTAATCAGTAAAAACTTAGCTTATTGCCAATTCTTAAACCCCTGCCTAGAACCCTATACAATTATACATTGCCAATTCAATGTACTAAGGGGTCTTTTGGTAGGGTGTATAAGAATAATGTAGAATATAGTGTATTAATAATGCTAGCATTAGTTATACTTGCATTAGTTATGCTGAGATTTTTCTTATGTAGTGTTTATTTTGGTGTATTGAAAATAACATACTTCGCATAATTTTTTTAGAAATATTTGTTTACAAAAATACACTCCATAAATATGGTGGAGAACATGTGGAAAAGGTTTTGAGGGACAATTGTGTCTTTAACCATGCTAATGCATGCATTAGAACCCATTGCATTACTAATGCATAGAAATCCATGATATTAGTAATGCATACCTCAATACACAATAGAGTGTATTAGTAATGCAAGCATTAGTTATACATAGGCTGAAAAAGTATACCAAAACAAGGTATTAGTAATACACAAAGCAAATGCATGCATTATTTTCTCCAATACACTAAACGACCCCCAACTCTCCTACTCTCCCCCATATGTTCTGTTTACACCAAAAAAGAACAAACTAAGACAATTCATCCTAATTTTCTGGATAGAACCGCTAGTGCCTTCAAAATGTCTACAATTCCTTTCTTTCCACATTGTCCACCATGTGCAAGTAGGAATGATCTTCCACCAGTCCTCCCCATCTCTACTTCAATACTCCACCAATTATTCAGCAGTGCCAAAGTAGAACTAGGTATTACCCAAGTTATTCCCAAAATACAAAAGAACATGTGCCACAGATTTATAGTTGTCCAGCAGTGTAGGAATAAGTGTTTATTGTTTTCACCCTTATATTCACACAAAAGAAATCTTGAACAAATCTGAAGACCTCCTTTGTAGCTTATCTTGAGTTAGACAAGCTTTCCTAATCACCAACCAGACAAAGAATGAGACCTTCATAGGGATATTTATTTTCAGACTTGTTTCCAAGGCCAATACTTCCTTTACAGGACCTCTTTGATTCATCTGCCAATACACTGACTTTATTATGAAGGCCCCTTTTACTGTTTAGTTTCCACCTGAGTCTGTCTGTAAAATCCGTGCATCCACCAAAAGTTCCCAATATCTGAAGCAGTGTGTCGATACTCTCTACCTCCCAGTCATTAAGAGCTCTTCGAAAGATTAGATTCCACCCTTATTGACTCCACATTTGGTTGATCATGTCATGTTGTCTGACTATGTTTTTCTGTGTATAGGTTTCATTTTTACGCAAGCCAAAGGTTTGCCAATAATTCAAATTATAAAAAGGTTCCTAAGAGACATGTATATTGTCTTTGGTTGATGTTTAACAATAAGACAAAAGGGAAGACACTGAAACAGGATATATACCCCATACCTGGAGTCTGGAAAAGAATTCGCTTCTTAATTGTGTGAGATTTCCCATATTTAATTTCTTTCCTATACGTCCAGCTCAATAGCATACCCTTAACATCACCCATTCTATCTAGAAAATTCCAAACAACTCCACAATCTGTTGGCAAACAGTGCAAAAGCAAATGAATTATGTCCTCTAACTTCTGAGATGTTATGGGTTTGTGGTGTGTTACCAGAAACAGTGCTTATAATATTTTCATAATTATGTATTGTTTTCCCATACTTCCAAGGAAACAGCTCACCGTTGCTAATTTACTTGTTCTTCATATTAATCAAAGATCTTCTTTTACTTTTGAAACTGTGTGTTTAAGCTTAATGAAGCATTAAGCCATGAAAGATGGAATGATTTAGTCACTTGAAGTTGGTTATTATGGCAATATTAATGATTTTTGGTTTGGGCATACATTTGCTTAAAGCCATTTCTATTCCAGTGAAATTGAGTTTTCTCTTTGAGGTATACATCTTTTGCATTGTTTTTAACTAAAACAAAATGGTACGTGATATCATTTCATTTTGTTCTTTTAATCAATCATGTTATTTTTGTAATATTTCTGGTGTTGGAGTTGGCATCGATTATCCCCAAGAATTTGATGGTTTAGATCTCAATCCTCAACCCCTTTCTCTTTCTCTTTCTCTTTCAATGATGGTGATTAAGTCTGGGAAATACCTCAAAATATATTATCTGTACCTGCTTGTTGCATGAAGATGCTACCCCCCTGATGGTTACTAGAAGGATTTTTTTCTGTACAAACGTCTGTTTGAAGTTATACAGTTTAACTGAACTTGGTGGAACACTGAAAATGGAATAAAGATTTTCAATTTTTAACCAGGTCATTCGAATTAATAGAAGGTAAATATTGGATAACTATTATTATATCTGCCTGTGTCTTCCCTTCTAAAAATTCTTGTAGTCTGTATCGTATAAATCTAGCAAATAAAACTCCAATTGAGGAAGTGATCTTTCTTTTTTCTTCTCTTCTTTTAAGTATGTAGTGGAGAGAAACAATCAGTTGTAACACTAGAATTATGAAGTTGCAAAATGATTAGGCATAGTTGAAATTTTAGGACCTTGCATATTGATGAATGATTACCTAGCCCATCATGAAGTAGTTTCTGGAGTTTCTAGTCTTTAAACTATCCCCACATCTCCTGTATCTTTCAGTCACCCATGCAGACCCATGGCCAGCATGCATGCAGTGACTCTATAAATAGCACTTTTTTAGTTCTGAAAATGGTAAAATGATTAGGCATAGTTGATGTTTATGACCTTACATTGATGAGTGATTACCTAGCCCACCGTGAATTTATTTTTGGAGTTGCTGTTCTTTAAACTATCCCTACTCCATCTCTATCTCTCGGTTGCTCGGTCTCTCATGCTGACCATGCGTGTGCTAGCATGCAGCGCCTCAAAAATAACACTTTTTTAAGTAATGATCCGTGTATAGCTTTTTTTGTTTTTTTTCTGAAAATGGTAAGATATGTGTGAGAGTGTGTGTGTCTGTGCATGTTTAGGTCAAGACTCAAGTGATGTAGGGACTTTCCAACTGACCATGCCAGGAACTGTACCGTACTCCCTGTAGCTCTTCTTTCTTTAATCTTGCAAGGTGGATAGAGAAGAGAGATATTGTAATTTTCACTTCCTTACTCTTAGTGTGAGCGGAATACACACTAACACTTATTGCTTCAATACGCCTGACATGTGGGACACTAATAGGTTAAAACATATGAATTTCTTTGTCACAACACTTACATTTTTTGATGAAGATTGTCACAACATTTACATTTTTTGATGAAGATTGTCACAACACTTTCTTTTGTGCTGTTGTTCGTAGTTCTTTGAAGTTATTCCGTTCGTGCATTTATCTTCTTAAGCATTGTTTTCAGTTTGGTGGTTTCTCATCCTACTGTTGTTTTCCTGTTTGCAGGAGGAAGATCTTCTTAAGACATTTAATAAACAGATTGAAGAAGACAGGAGAATTGTAATAGCTCGTAGTAACCTAAATGAATTATACAAGGTATGGACAAAGATATGTGCTTTGGGATGTATTTTATTCTATTTAAGATCTTCTAGCAAATGGTTGGGTACCTCTATGTGTTCATTTAGTCGCACGTTTAATTGTCTCTGTATTGTTGGTTCTTTTTGTCTGCTGGAGTTATCACATCTTTTATCTATATTTCAGGTTCTGGAAGAGCACGAACTTTCATGCATTGATTTGTTGCATGTAAATACTGATGATGTGATTCTGACCAAGCAGAGTAAGTGTTTGTGTGAAATCATGATATATTGTTCTTTAATTCTTTTTGATTGAAAAAATCAGAAAAGATTGATCCGCTCACTTGGTCATAGATATACTTATATTTGAATTCAACTTTTGTGCCTTTCTCCAGTTTTAGATAATATTGAGATTATATTATAGTTTCTTTATGTTATCGCTAAAATAATACTCCCTCCATCTAGAAAAGAGTGACTGTCCAAAGCACTAGGTCAAACTATCTAAACTAAATAGAACTAGGATATCGATTCCTCTAATTTTGCAAATATGTTATAATCAGTATTAAGAACCACTGTGATGCAAAGTGACGCAAGCCATGTGCTTCAGAGAAGTGTGCGTTTCAAATGACGATGTGCAAAGTGATCCTGACGATAAGTGGTTTGCCTTTTGAATCTCAAATTTGAGGAGTTGGATTAATATCATATTGTATATTAAATTAATTTAAATTTGATCACGATAGTACTAAGGGCCTGTTTGGATGGACTTATAAAAAGTTACTTATAAGTCAAAAGTAGATGGTACCCTACTTTTAACTTTTGACTTATTTTAAAACTTTTTTGGCCTAAAAGTGGGTGCTTAACAGCACTTTTCAAACACCAAAACTAAAAAACTACTTAAAAGTCAAAAGTACCTAAAAGTATGTTAATCCAAACGGGCACTAAATCCATATACATTTGGTAGTTTTTAAATTCATGAATTCTATACTTCACTTCAAGTGAGTGTGCACTTGAATTCTCTCTTTTCGCGCCAAGGCTCATTAATCCTGTCACGTTTTCTGCTTTTCGCTATTAAAAACACTGTTAAGAGTACTGTAAAGCTCAATTTTTATAATTGAAGATATTTAACAAATGCTTGAATCAAAACAAAAAATATTTAAGAAATGACTGAAAAAATTATCGTAAAAGAAAAAAGTGTGATTCCCCCAAATAGTAAGTGTCAAATGAAATGGGGCAGTCTAGGAAGGAACCTGCATCAAAATAAAGAACACTGTTAGGTTCTATGGAAGGTAAAGCTTAATTTCATAAATTTTAAAGGAAAGCTAAATTGCGTTAATCTTTGGTTTCTCTTACATCTTCAGAAGCTGAGAAAGTTATTGGCTGGGCCAAAAATCATTACTTGTACACATGTGTCCATCCATCTATTAAAGGGGATAGATTGTATCTGCCTCGTGAAAGGTAATTCTATTTTTACTTTTCTGTACGTGTACAACGTCTTTTGTTTTGCACAAACTTGAAGCTCATTTCTGCTGTTTATCATGTGAAGCGTTGAAACTGCAATTTTGAGGTTGAAGGAGCAAGAAACAATGTCAAAAAAGCCTTCTCAGAATCTTAAGGTATTATCCCCTGATTTATTGCTATAAAATAGGCATAATAGATTGGGACCCCCCTGAACTTGATGACTTTTGTTCAGTGCTCGCCTAAACTTCACGTTGGCCTAATTACCCCTGAACACAAGACATTTCAGTATCCTCCCCTATACAAACTCAACCCATGGAAGTGTGACACGCACTGCCACAATTTTTTGTCCTCGTGGCATTTTTTAGAATAAATTTTTTGTTCTTACCTTTTAAATCCACCAAATTTTTTTTTTTTTTGAAACTTGGTAACTTTGTATTATAACACAATAGTACATGGGCAGTACTAAACCTTATATACAGATGAACTCCAAAAACTCCACTATTCTAAATCTAAATTGAATCTAAAACATCAATTATAGAGACAGTTTCATTAGAGTATACTTGATTGCACCAAAAACATAACAACAAAATGCAGCTGAGTTTAACTTTCTGCATACTATTCTCTACGGTCTCAAAACACCTAGAATTTCTCTTTTTCCAGGTTGCCCACCAGATTGAAGCAGGGATAATTCTCCATCTCGTTCTGTCTTTAGCTAGCACTCCTGCCTCCTCCCAACTTTTTAGGGCTTCAGTAATTCTCCTAGGCATAGCCCAGGATATGCCTTTGAGACTTAAAAATCCACCAAATTATTTAGATCATCCTTTTCGGGCTAAATCTGTAAAAAACTTGGAACAGCGTTATCTTGTCTACATTTTCTTGGCTAATGATAATGATATTCTAATCAAGTTGTTTTTACATAATTGGCCAGAAAGAGAAGAAATCGAAGTTAGAACATCAGCGTGTATGGGGTTGAGACTATCAAATTGTCAATTTTAGGGGTAGTTGGGCCTAGATAAAGTTCGGGTGTGCACTAAATAAAAGTCAAATTTGGGGGGGGGAGGGGGGGGG